TGTATCCCAAAGTAGTGTCTGCCTACACCTCCATGTCTACAGTGTGTGTGCAATACAATAACTTCAATGGAAACCCAATGCCGTTGAATGTCAATATGTGTGCACGTTCCATTCCTAAACTTATTGACCACCGCTAATGCCCCGGCTTGAATTGCACTGCTTACTCCTCCTCTGCTGCCCGATGAGGTTCCCATGATGCACGGCAGCCCTCCGTCCCAGCGAGTAAAATTGACATGGTCACAGTAACAGCAGTGTGGGATTTGAGGGGGGAGGTCATCATAGAGACACAAAGAAATGAAGGGAGACATACCGCCTGGAGACGGCCCTCCTACACAAAAAGTGTGGAAACCCCGGAGATCCAGGGGGGGGGGGTGCTCCAAATCTTAGTCCCTCTTGCTTCATTTGATCCAAATACGCACATTGACCAATGTGTGTGTGTGTGTGTGTGTTTGTTACAGTAGGATGCAAGAGCTCCTGCTCATCCATTCATGGAAAAGTACCCCTGACTTATCGCCACGCCATATCTGCCAGAGACGCATCAAAGCCTCTGATATGAAAAAACCCGAAGACACAAACAAAAGTGCACAAAGTCCGAGGGGCACAGCGCTGTACGGCGGCAGTGTCTGTGCTCGCACACATGAATGCGCTTCATCGAGTGGGGCTCTATTGATGCGGGGCCATGAAAAAGTAGGGCATGTCAGAGTCCCTCATTCTGCAGCGTGCAGCCTAACAACACGAAACGGCAAAGTCAGATGTACCTCTGTGTTACTCTCTCTCTCTCACGCACACACGGACACACTGCAGGAGGAGGAGCTCTCGGACGGACATCACCGTGGTGACCAATATGCCTTTTAATAAAAAAAAAAACCTGACCTCAGCGTTAATCGGCCCTTCAATAAGTCTAGACATGCATGGGATTCTGAATGTGAGGGGGGGTGGGGTGAGGGGGGGGGGGGGGGGGGGTTGTCAACACAAAGAACAAGAGCTGGAAGCTTGAAGGATTTTACTCCTATCGTTGTTAAATTCTTTATGAACTCAGCAATTGGCTTGATATAAATATTTTAAACCCGAAATGCCAATTATCCTTGTGAGAATCTGCTGCTTTTCTTTTTATTGAGTGATAGTTTAGGACTGCTGCGTGGAAAATTACATGAGATGTATAAAGGCATGTTGTGCTTTCCAAAAGCAATCGTGCCAGTAAGTGAAGGACAAAACTGCAGGAAATGCAAACTGCAATTTATGAAACACTACACAAACATGACTATTACTCTAAATTATAATTTAGATCATTTAGCACCAACCGAGCAGAAAGCAAAGTGTACTTAGCGCACTCCGGTCTGTGACATCTGTCCTCTGTCCTTTGAACAGAAAAATGCACAGAGGCAACATGTCCCAGGGGAGCATAGGGCACCCATCACTAACAGAACTTCTGTTATACCGTCCAGGGAGGACAGAGAGGACAAATTAAAACAGAACTCAAACTAAATGTTCAATAAAAGACATTTTCTTGCAGAGATGTTAATGTTTACTGTGATTCTTTTTACAGTATAATACCGCGATTTATTTTACAGTTAGTTACTTGTCACTAGCTGCCAGTTAATAACTGTACATTTTACAATACATTTGTTACGGTGTAATTTAGACCAATGACTGGAAACTAGCTGGCTCTGGATCTGCACTTAAACAGAAAGCATATACTGTGTTAATTAGGTAGGCATAAATCTAATATCATTGACTTTTATATTAAATCAACCTAACCTAACATGTTAAATATGCCTGCAATTACCTCCTGGGGCTAAAGGCAAATTTTATTCTCGCTTTCGAAAATATCCATTCGTTGATGGAGTCTTTGAATTGGAATTTTGTGAAGCTTTGTTTTATTCATTACGGAGTTTTGTATATATTTGTTAATGCAAATAGTTTTTCATCTGACCATTGATTGATGTAAGCTTTTTGTGGGCATATTAGTGATGTTTGTGTTTTATCTCTGATTGCCATACAGTTTTATTCATACCTTCCTTTAGCATGTCAGGTATGGAATAGGTGATTGGTTGCAGCCTACATACATTGCATATAAATGTACTTTTATAAATTAAACTGTGTACAGCGTTGTGTTTGCAAGGCAAATTCATGCCGATGACATTAATCAGCCAGCCGGCCATTTTAGCAAGGCCTTCGCTTGTGCTGAAAAACATCAGCATAAACAACAGCATTGTTAACACTGTGATCTGACGGGGCACATTTGAACTTATTTGAAAATGAACATCAGTACAAAATATATTTTAGAGAGTGAAAAAAGTTATTTCGTTAAGTGGGTTCTTTCTTTTTTTATTTTGTACAGGACACCTTATTCCCTCCTTGTTAATAAAAGCCAAATCCAATTTCATCTGAGTTAACCCATCCTGCACTAACTTACCTTCAGTCCTCCCGCACACACAAACACACACACTCCGATACACTCTCTCGTATCAGGTGTTCTTATGAAACTGATACAGAGGCTGACCTTTATGCTGAGGGCCAAAACAGCCTCCTCTCCATCCCCCCCCCCCCCCCCCCCCCGCTTTCTCTCTCTCTTTCTCTCTCTCTCTCTCTCTCTCTCTCTCTCAAACACACATAGTCAACACACAGATAATCCACACCCACGTCTAATTTAGGTCTGGAAACGGGGGTGTTAACAGCCGGCAGGACGGTGTGACTTCCAGTGTTCAGTCACGTGACCAAACATCAAGAGTTAAGCCCCTAAAGTCCAGCTGCTAAAACACTTCCGTCACCTATCTACTCATGGACGGACAGATGAGAGCAAGCCACAGCAATGACACCACGGTGACAACGCTTCAAAATAATGATGTACTGGTTTCGTTCCCTTCATTGTCCTCTGAAATGCTGCCAGCTTCCTACCACCAGTCAGCACTGCAGCAGCCAGCATGATATCAGTCTGGCAGCAATGCCAGAGAGCCGGGGGACTATCAGGTGATATTATCCCATTTGCTGTGTGAAATTCATAAAATGAGGAGGTGTCATACTGGGAATATCTGTACTGAAATCTGGGTTGAACTCCAGGGAAAAGGGACAAGTAGAGACAGGAGAGGATTCTTTTCAAAACATGAATACTACGAATCACAGCAGAGTGCAGCACTTTGCAGTTTTTGACTATGTGCATTTGCATTAAAGAAATAAGCAGCCATCAGGAAAGGCAAAGTTTTCTCGGCTGAGATGCCATTGCGCATCTCAGTCCGGGTGCTCCCCGGCCCTTGTCCAAAAAATCAAATAGATCAGTCGATCCACGCGGGGAAGCATCACACGACTCGTAGATCAAGCGCTCCTGCTGACGGGAGACTGACATGCCGCCAAAGAGCTCATCCGGCTTTGAAATGTAAACCAGTCCACACTCAGACGGGCTATGCAGCTCTTTGCAACTGAAGTCAGAACCGCGGCGGGGCTATGGAGAGAGGAGGAAGCTCAGACTCAAGATGACGGCGGTGAAAAAAGGGGCTCTGGGTTATAGGTGGCTCACAGATTCCGCCTTGGTGACGTTTATGGAAGCAGTGTACGAGCTGCGAGAACCCATAAGGCCTTTGCACACACGCAGGCAGCCTATTTGCCTTCGGGATGGGGAGAATATAGTCTGTCGGCAGACAACCCAGACGGACAATGACGCTTTGATGTTGACATTCAGTGTCCTGCTGTGATTTGTGCAGGTGTTTCCCAACTGCACATGCGCACACACTGCGATTTACTGTGGGAGATGCATCGAATAGACAAATAACCACATGCACCTTCTGCCTCACATTTAAAATGTATATTGAACGCTGGCCTTTTTTTTCGTGTGGATGCACGTGCGGATGCGCGCTCACGTCGCCCGTTTCCTCCCTGATTGGCTGAGTCCGAGGCGACAGACTAACTGTGTGCCGGCGGTGGTGCGTTTGCGTGCGCTTGTGCAGACCCTCTGTTGCGAGGAAGGAGGTCAGAGCCAGAGGATGTGATTGGCTGGTGAGGAGAGTCACAGCATCAGCACATCCTTAACCCACTGCCCTTCTTTCCTCTCCTTCTCCACCCCCCCGCTCACAGCATACTGTGGGTCAAAAACGCATGCATTTGCACGTCACCTATCCCACTCTGCGCACCCCATCGCCAACCCCCCCCCCCCTCTCTCCAAACTCTCCCCCTCTGTACGTGTCAAAGAGAGCTCGGATTAATGCTGTCGATGTCGTCTGGCGACAGGTCATCCCTCGAAAGGTGAAATGGGTTTAAAAGGTAAAAAAAAGTGCCTCAGAAACGGCCGAGGAATTAATTCCAAACGGGGGACCTGAAATACTAACCTTGCCCTTTAACATTCCTTTCGCTCTCGAGGATTGCCCGATTTAGAGGTGAGCACCGGTGGCACCACGAGCCAAATATGAAACGTGGACACAATCCAAAAAGGCGACGTGGTGCGTAAAAGGCGCAACCGTGCGGTTTCTCCCTCCTCCTCCTCTCGACAGACGGCACACGGGCCGCGTGAGTACGTGGTGTCCAAGTCGCGGTGTTAAGAGCCACATTGTGAAACCAGACAGCTTTTGCGTCGCTCTGACGGCCCCGACATCCCCTCATTATCCACGGACCGGCAGGTCTCAGTGTTGCAGAGGACAAAGAGACATCAGTGAAAGACACGGGCCGTTTAATGGAGGCTGAGGGGGTTCGCAGTCAAATATGGGGGGCTTTTTTTAATCACTCCATTGCAAGGACGAGGGAAATGGGAGCATCGACAACCACAGATGAGCAGCGGGTTTAACTGATCTAGAAAAGCTCGCGTATACAGCATGAGAGACCCATACACCAATAAGTGGCATGCAGTGAGTTTAAATCGATTGGGTTTAAGCCATAAACTCGTCCCATTGATAAAGCAGGCGTCCCTGGACCATTGCCCCCTTGTGTCATTCTGTCTCCCGTGTGGTTTTGAAGGTGCCGGTGTTCAAGCGCGCCCGGCAACCTTTCCAATTGAAGATGCATTATCCGCTCACCTCACAGTCATACAACTCGCTGAGCTGCTCGATGATCCACTCCTCCAGGACGAGTCTTTTCCGCAGCTCCTTCCTGTCGTACTTGACCGTCACTTTGCCCTGTCTCCTCTGGACCGGGTCGTCGCCGGTGCTGATGGGGCCGGTCCCCACGCAGCCCACTCCGGGCGCGCCTTGGAAGAAGACGCGGCTGGCGACGGTCGGCAGCGGGGCGCTGGTCTCGGTGCTAGCGGCCGACATGTCTTTTTTTTGGGGGGGGGGGGGGGGGAGAGGGGGGCAGGGTGTGGGGGAAGGGGGTATTATTATTTAAGAAATATGTGAATGAGTTACGGAGGTTGTGGCGGGGGGGGAGCGCTGTGCTGATGGAGACCGCGGGCTGCACAGCAGACAGGAGAATGGTGGGCAGCTTTTAAACAGCTGCTATTTAAAGCGCAGCGCCGAGAAGGAGGAGCGTGCGCGCTGCAAGAAGTGAGCTTTCGAGGCGCTTGTCTGGCGTTAAAATTAAGATGCATTTCCTTAAAAGGGAAAAGAAAAACCCCTCTTCTGTGGAGTTTCAGGCTGCGTGTTTCTAAAGTGAACAAACGTTCTAATTCAAAGGCACGGCAGGACATAACCGTCCATCCAAGAATCCAAAGAGCAGTTGTTACATTGTTGTTGAATTTACTTCGAAAGATGGCATCAGACGTTTTTTATGCTTGTTTTAGAAAGTCTAAAAATATATTTTAGAAAATTACAAAATCATTTCTTAAAGTGGGTTCTTTCTTTTGTGCCAAATTCCCCCAATGCGCGCAGGAGCGCGAGCAGATGCTCCAAAGTCTTCCCCAATACAAGCTAAGCTCTTCTGCTCCCTTGAGTTGTCATTCATTCATTGAATTACCTCTATTGTGTGTGAAAGTGTGTGTGATTTTCATGTGGAAAAGGCTCACGTGTACACCTGAAACCTGATCACCAGCGTAGTGTTTTCCATTCGGTCCCCAAAGACTTCGGCCTGTCATGGGGAGAGTTCTTTGCGACACCTGCTGGATTTACAACATTAATACAGCATGTTCCGATCATATGGAGACAGTATTTATTACACAGTAATACTGGTTATTTCACGTGTCCTCACCTTAAAAGCGCCTTTGTAATTGTTGATTAGTTAAAAATGTGTTTCATTATTAAAACTGTAAGGATAGTTTAACGATGGATGTTTCATAGGCTGCTGAGTATTTTCTGTGGACATTCAGTCTAAATTGAATGACGTTCTGGTCATCGTTTCCAGATATACACGTTATAAGGCAGACAACGCCATTTTGGAGAAGCATATTTCACTTTCTAATCACAAACAAGGATCTAAAGTAAAATATTTCTTTACAACAACCCTGCAAAGAAATGTAGTGAAAAAACATGACAGGGCTTTGTTTCCCATTACAACCTTTTATACTGTATACTATCAAATGTGACCTTTAGACATTGTTTAACAGCCACTCAATGCAGGAAGAGGTGGAGATTTGTTGCAAAGAGCAGTAGTCTGTCACAGTTGGGCAGAGCTTCAAGTGCAGGGGGGCTTTCCAGCTCTGACGCAGCAGTTATTTTACCCAAAAGGAAACATTTGCACCCAGATCGTCTCGTCTCCCCTGCGGCTGTCATGGCTCTCCTGACGGTCCTCACGCCCGTCCTCGCAGTGGTCCTGTGCTTTTTGATAGGCCTCATGCTGCTGAGGTCACAGGACAAAGAGACCACCTCCCCTGGAAAAACTGAAGGGGCTCCAAAAGCGGACTTCAGACCGTGGGTGGACCAGGACCTGCAGGACGATACAGAAATCAAAGGAAAAGAGGAAGGTGAGAGCTGCACAGCTGTTTTATTGACGGGGTGGAACTTGTATTTGACATCAAAACTAAGCACATGTGGTCCACAAACTCAGCATAAAAATCTTTGAATGAATGTGATCAATCGGTAGGCCGATGTCTGCTGTATTCTCATACAGATTCATTCCAATGGTTAATCAATGATGGAAGGGGTGTCAAAGCTCAGCACTAGACTTTTCAACCCAAGTCATGGCGATCTAACCCCCGCTCCCACTCGGGCAGTTTGCCCATCGAAAAAAAAACAAAAAAAACAGAACGAGCCTCTTGTCCTCTCGTCACCTGGCAGGATTTTTTCCCCCAATGGCAGGTGATCTACGACCTTGCCCCCCTGGTCCAACGCATGCGCTCACTCACAGAGCGCGACCCCCAGTGGACTTCATAGGAATAGCAGCTACTTGCAAAGAAATGCAATTTATGTCTTTTTGTAATTCTCACAATAGCAAATTCGTAAGGCCGCCCTTGAGTTTGACACCTGTGGATTATGGTATATGGCCTGGCCTAGACATAATAGAGAGTGACTTTTCTGCATTTTAATTCATGAAATTTATGAAAGACTGCGCAAAAGAAAGGATTTCAACGCGTTTACCTGGTTTCCCAAAAGGTGACATTTTCTAAAAAAATTTATATAACAGACAACATACATATGGTAACTAATAACAAATATCATCGACAAATAAATGAATAAATTATACCTTCAACTTTATTCCTCTGGGACATTTGCAAGCTAAGCAGCAGTATGTAAAGTAATTTAAATGAGCTCTCTGCGACATTAGTGTGATGCAAACCTTAATAATATAATCACATTTTTCTAAAGTGGGTCTTGTGCATTATTTACTTTTGCTATTTTAATTATCTTGATGCAAGCTCTTTTAGTCTTTTAGTTTTTGCTACTGCCGCAAAATATTTGACTTTTTCCTGATGATCAACATTATGCATATTATAATATAAAGCTGCTCAATGGTCCTGCTTCTATGCCTTTGACTCTTTTAGCGGATGGCGATTGGGTTGAAAGCAATGAAGAGGAAGAGATCCCACACGTGCCGCACTCGGCACCAGGTTACCCAGAGGGGACGATGCTGGAAAGATCCAAGGACTTTTACACCCTGATGAACCAGAGGAGGAGTGTTCGATTCATCAGTCCGGAGCCGGTCCCACGAGAGGTCATCAATAATGCCATCCTCACTGCAGGCATGTCCCAATTTAAAGAGGACAAACGGACCCCTCTCAACCCCAAATTAAAAACAAATAAATGAAATGCCAGAGAGCAGTTAATGTGGTGCTCTTTTTAATTACATTTTGACTCATCACCCTTGTTCTTTTGGACAGGTACTGCCCCCAGTGGAGCCCACACGGAGCCTTGGACGTTTGTTGTGGTGTCAGACCTGGGGACCAAGCACCAGATCAGACGCATTGTGGAAGAAGAGGAGGAGGTCAACTACCGTCAGAGGATGGGGGACAAGTGGGTTAATGATTTGTCCAAACTTAGGTGAGCAGCCATATTCGTACTCCACACTCACACATCAATGTCCAAGTATTTGCACGAGAATCATAAAGCTCTGAGTTGTATCCCGTATCAGTTTAATGGAGCATCATTCCCTGCTTACTCCCTGCTTCTTTTTTTTTTCTTCCTGTGCCGATGGTGGGTTTTGGGACAGAGGATGTCGTACGTGTACAGACTGTAAAGCCCTCTGAGGAAAATTTGTAATTTGCGATTTTGGGCTATACAAAATAAAATGAATTGAATTGAATTGAATTACTCTTATTTGTTGCATGATTTAGGACCAAGATCACATGATGTGGAGCAGAAAAATGAACATATAACAAAATGACAAGGACGACTTCCTTTCTCGTGCAGGACAAACTGGATCAAGGAGTACTTGGACGTTGCGCCGTATCTAATCCTCGTCTTCAAACAGACCTACGGCATCCTTCCAAATGGCGAGAAAAGGACACATTACTACAACGAAATCAGTGTCTCCATATCGTGTGGCCTCCTGTTGGCTGCATTGCAGGTAAGGAATAACAACACAAAGCATCCAATCCCTGCTCTCTTGGTCATGAATGCCATATAGCTGTGGATTTTCTGGAAATGCCATGCAATTACCGATAAACCCCCATTTGTTCTCTCTGTCCCTGATGTGATCAGAACGTGGGTCTTGTCACCGTCACGACGACGCCTCTGAACTGCGGCCCCCAGCTCCGGCTCCTCCTGAAACGGCCAGCCACTGAGAAGCTGTTGATGTTGCTTCCTGTAGGGTATCCTGCTCGTGACGCCACAGTGCCTGACTTGAAACGAAAGCCTCTGGATGATATCATGGTGCACGTATAACAGAGTCAGTCTGTGGAGGAAATATTGTTTTCAAAATGTGCATAATTAGAATCCATAAAATCATATTTTAAAGTAAAATGTTGGTAATTGTCTTCATACAGAAATATATAACCATGTACGTCAATTTATGGGATGGGCTTTCACCGTAATATACAAATTTTAAATTGTTCAAACAAGTTTGATTGTGTTAAACAAATTGTTTCCAGCACTGCTGCCATAAAAATCTGTTTTCAGTTGTTTGTTCTGGGATTGCTTGTGTAATTTGTCTAATGACCACAGTACACAATTACTGAAAAAGCTATTTGTTTACTTATTATTTTACTTTTCTGAAGCCTCATCAATTAGTATGATGGAGAAATCATTAACGTACATGCATTTATTTGTCTTGAGTGTCACCTCTCAATGAGTTCCGGGTGAGTGGAGGATTTTACATGTTTATTCTTTTAGTGCATATTCAATAGAGCATTGCACTGGTGCACTGTGATTCAAAATAAATAAATAACAAAGTAGGCTACTCATACTGGGATTGTTGTGACCTTTCAGCCGGAATTTTCCTCTCGTCACCTCACCGTATTAATTTGACTGCTTTAATCGGGCTGAAAACCATTCGCACCGCCAGCCACACTTCATTTCCACCGCTGGGGGTCAGTAGCGCGCAGGAAAAGCGCCCAATCGCGAAGAAGAAGGCGAAGAAGAAGAAAGGCGTCATTGCGCAGGCGTACACCACGTACACCGATGCTCGGAGCTGTCTTGGTCGGATGCTAGCTGGCTAGCTAACGGTCTGTCAAGTCGCACACATTGGGCTAGACGGGGGAAGCGCAACGGTGGAGAAGAAGGGCGACCCGAGCGCCGCTACGAAATGGCCGGACAGCAGTTCCAGTACGATGACAGCGGCAACACCTTTTTCTATTTCCTCACGTCCTTCGTCGGACTTATTGTGATCCCGGCTACATATTACCTCTGGCCCCGGGATCAGAATGCTGGTAAGGCCCGATGTCTGGTTCAGTGCTAACTTAAGCTAACTCGTCAGCAGTGCTGGTGTAACGTCAAGTGATCACGCGAGCGGTTTGTGTTAGATCTCCTCCCCCGGTGCGAAGCTCTTTTGATCGGGCCAGCCTGCACCGCATGGACGCCGTGGCCGTGCGACCCAAACCCGACGCTTCATTACTTTGAAACGTGCCAATTGTAAGACACAGCAGGCGTTGTGGTGACGGCGCCCACGTCTGCTTCACCGGTTCGGAGTTGAGCACAAGTGTCGACTCGACTCGGTCACCCCGCCGGCTTTGACGTCTCCGAACCGGGCGTCCGGTTGATTATCGTTTCCCCCCCCGAACGTCTCATACGTGACGTTGACCTTCTTCTGTGACTTAACAAAAAAAAAAAAAAAAAAAAGGAATTAAACTGGCGGCCAGTCGAGATAATGCTCCCAACACAGAAAAAGCCAGCGTCACTCTCCCCGCAGGTGTGAAGCTTGTGGCTTTATCGTCTTTATCCCGATAAAGTCTTATCTATTTGTCAACAACAGTGCATATCTAACATAGGTTATGTTACAAACGCGAGCACACTCTACTCACTCTAATGGGACGTGTTGAGTGACAGGTCGCCGTAGATCGGAGATGTTGATTTACCTTTTTTAAGATTATTTCCATGTAAGATTCAATATTGATCGACACCATGCTTGAAGTGAATGCACATGAATTAATGCACATTTCTGAAGTCGTTTAGAGCTGCAGGAGGGGAGCCTGTGCCTCTCATAGCTTAGCTGACGTATCCACAAGTATCCTCTGTGAAAATGTCCCCTCACCCCTGATTCCGATTAACCGGTAATCCCACCCAAATTACCGCCACAGTCATTTCCCCGGCAGCCGACCTTGTGATTTGTGAGCGGTACGGTGGCACCAGTGTGTCGGTTTATATCTCTCTCTGTCTTCTCTTCCTCTTTCCAGAACAACTGCGGCTGAAGAGCCTGAGGAGGGTGCACGGCAGGTGCCTGTGGTACCGGCTCAGGCTGATGAAGTCGCAGCAGAGCATCGTCCCGACACTAAAGTGAGTCACGTTATTTGGCTTTGCAGTGTTCTTTGTGAATATGAATGTGATTTCCTCTTAATTCAGCATTCAGCATACTCCCCGTGATGGAAGTAGGCCCAAGACGACTTGAGTGTGTCATTCTTTTGAAGTATTGACTGTTGGTAGTTATTTATAGCACTGTTCAATGTGTTACACTTAATCCAGGCGCACCTCCGGTCTCATTTAAATGTCTCCACATATGAATGATTGGCCATAATCTGCTCGGCATTTTGATAAGTGGTTTGTTCCCCCTGGTTCACTTAATTCAGTGCGTGTCTGCAGCTGGACGGAGAGGCTGTAGCTGTTGTGCAATAGCGAAGGCAGACTTTAATGGAGACGCTTGTGTTTGGTGGTGTTTGCCTCAAGTTCGGCCCGTGTTGTTTTCCTTGTGCAAACCTCCTAAATGACGTGTGCCAGCGGTGTAAACACCGCCTTGCGCCGTTTAACGTTTCTCTTCACATGGACCTTCTGAGTGGTGTTTATTCCTTCTGGGCGTGTGGGTTGACGGGAAGATGTGGTTTTCAAGTGCGGTTCAGCGTGTCACTCATTTTCTGCGACTGAAACTGGCCGAAGCCGTATCATAATGATGGTGTTTATTATGAGAGTCCATCAGGCATTTTTCTATCTGAGCCACCCGGACAACTCAGGCCAGTGAGCGGTTGTCATGGCAACAGATGCTGCAGAGTAGGCCATAGGGTATTGCTGTTGTCATGGAAACAAGTTTAACTTTGATGCATAACCAAACAACAACAACAATGTCAGAACATGTCTCGCCCTTGTGCTTATGTGGAGAAAACCCCGTAGTCTTTTTGCGTTCCTTAATGTTCGTAGCTTTCTATACTGTAGGCTAGATGACAATGCAGAATCCTGCATCCCGCCTTGACTCCCAAACTCAAGTCTGGAGGAAAAATGAGACTGGCCTGATGTTTTCTCTTGCAAGCACAGACCTGTGTGTGTGTGTGTGACACGCATCTTTCCTCTTCGTTTTGCCGATTTCAGGAAAGGCGCCTTGTTGTTTGGCTGGTTCGTGTTCCTGTTGCTAGCCTACAAGGTGTCCAAGCTGGACAGAGAGTACCAGGAGTATAATCCATATGAAGTCCTCAACTTGGATCCGGTATGCATGCACGCACACACACACACACACACACACACACACACGCACAAAACACAGTGTGCTGTATTCTACAAAGCCTTGAAAGTCCCCAAAGACCCGTTTTATTTAGTCTGCACGAGATATTAGACCCATAACTTCTAAAGATAGAACACACGATAAAAATATCATCTTTCATCCCATTTGCGGTGCCGCTGTATTGTATCTGTTCCTCACACTATGTGAGGTCTTGTCATGAATTGTGAGCGTAATTCTGTCTCCAGGGTGCATCGCTGTCAGAAATCAAGAAGCAATACCGTGTGCTGTCACTCAAGTTCCACCCGGACAAAGGTGGTGATGAGGCCACGTTCATGAGAATTGCCAAAGCCTATGCTGCGTAAGTAAGCCAGGCACCAAGACTACATCTGCATTCAATATTTATTTCACCAGGCTGCCACAAATTGTATTTTCCAAGAGAGAACAATACATTTTCACCAGAGTACAATAAAGTAGAAACAAAATAACTACACAATGAACCGGAATTAAAAACAATTCTAATGATATAGTTGATAAATTTAAAGGAGAAGAGATGTAATGTATTTTGGACTTATATATGTATAATACATATTTGCATAATGACATTATTTTGAGGTAATTGCATGATTTACTTTTCCACAGTCTGACCAATGAACAGTCTCGACAGAACTGGGAACAATACGGTAACCCAGATGGTCCAGGAGGTGAGTGAAGCGACCCTAAATCCCACACATTTGCATTTGTATTCAGTCGGCCTCTTGTGGTCATGAATGTGTTGATCAATGGAAGATGAAGTGAAACCTGGCAGCACATTTATGAGTCTCGAAGGATAATGCCATATTATGTATTTTTTTGTGCCTCAATTATTGTAATTAAAAGAGACCTTTTTCATCAATAAATAAAATTCATTCATGTAATGCATATCTTATATTAATATGGTTATTTGGATCACAATATAGCATGATTCATGGCGGTTCAATTAATGAATAGTTAACATGATATAAACACATACTAAAGGCTATTTTTGTATTCAATGATTTTCTTTATTTGACAAATACGTTTTCATGTGAAATTAGAGAGAAATCAAATAATTCCATGCAAGCAGTTTGTTAATCCCATTTGAATTGAGTGGAAATGTGAATTGTGACATTAAAAACAAAACCACAATGTTAAAGGGACATTTCCTTAAGAACTATTTCACGACAGTTTGTGTGGAATTTGATTTGGCTGCTTGTCCCGATATTTCCGCTTCAATGCAGCGGGAGATTTTGCCTCTCACGCCTTCCTCTTTCTCTAGCGACCAGCTTCGGTATTGCTCTGCCCGCCTGGATCGTTGACCAAAAGAACTCTATGCTGGTATTTATTCATTGATTTTCTTAAAATGTCTTGTGTTATACGAGCGGAGAGCCAGTCATCAATAACCCACTGAGTGCATTATGCTTTGCTTTTGCCACCAGGTGCTGTTGGTGTATGGACTGGCCTTCATGGTCATCCTTCCTGTGGTGGTGGTGAGTCCCGGCAACAGATTGTATGACACAGAGGCCCTCCCACAAATTCCTTTCTCTCTTTTTGTTGTTTTGTTTTGTTTTGTGTGCATCCGCGTCGTAGGGCACGTGGTGGTACCGCTCCATCAAGTACAGCGGAGACCAGATCCTCATCAACACCACCCAGCTCTTCATGCATTTTATGTACAAGACGCCCAACATGAACATGAAGCGTGAGTCTCCCTTCTTCTCATAATGTGCAACAAGACTTTGACCAGATGCAAACACAGGAAGAAGAACTGTGGTGAATTTATTCTTTGATGTTGGGAAACCGTTAGATAAGCAGTGGATTCCTCTGTCAATAATAAAACATTTGAATGTTAAATTGCTTCCATTTAATGCAAAACTACACCAAGTTACAGGATTTTCTCTCACTCATACAAATCTCCAGACTTTTTCATTTGTTGTGTGTCAGTGTAAATTGGTTGGTCAGTGTCCATTGACCATCAGCTGAACACCAGGTTTTGGTTCACAAGTTTTTTTTTTTCCCCTTCAGGGTTGGCAATGGTGTTGACGGCAGCGTTCGAGTTTGACCCTCGCAGCAATAAGGATGCTACCATACGGCCGACGGACAACATCGAAGTGCCGCAGGTGATTACAAACATCGCCGATGATGAACGGCCTCTCCGGGCTTGCAAAGATTCGCGATCCAAAGTAGAAACACTGTAAAAAGGGGTTCTGCGTGCCGCGAACGGCCTCTCGTGTCTTTCTTGCAGTTGATCCGTGAGTTGGGAAACATCAATGTGAAGAAGAAGGAGCCCCCGTTCTGCTATCCCTACAGTTTGAAGGCCAGGGTCTTGGTGCTCGCCCACCTGGCCCGCATGGACGTCTCCGAGGAGTTGGAGGAAGGTAGGACACGACATTTCTGTTTTTTCTTTCAAAGGAATTCTGTGTTGTTCTACTGTATATATTCAAAGTACTCTTAAGAGGCTGTAATTCAACACATTGTGTTAGCTTATATGTCTGTTCAAAGCAACACTAGGCGGTCAGGAATTGGTTCTTTATTCTACCAAAAATGGTCTATAACGTAAGCAGCTGTTTGGAGTTGTGAGGTCGCATTGTTTCACAACCCTCCCCTGGTTAAATGTTTATACTCCCGCGCCAGAGGTAATGTCGCTTACTGAAAGAGGGCGAGCTGTTTAGAGTAGTTTCAGGTTTGTTAGTTTGTGAGAACTCTCTTGGCCAGCTGTGTTGTCTTAGAACGGCAAGTTAGAGCTGCAGATGTAGTACATGATGTGAATACACATGTGGGATTCTATTACATGCCATGCAGACAGTGGAAAGGTTTCCAAATGAATCTTTTGGAGTGGTGGACACAAACCGCACTTTGAGGTCTTCTAATGAAATCATGCAATGTGTGATGTATATTTTGGTTCCAGATCAGAGGTTTGTGGTGAGGAAGAGTCCAGCTCTCCTGCAGGAAATGGTCAACGTGGGCTGTCAGCTTACTATGATGGCCAACAGCAGAGGAGGTACACACACACACACACACAAACACATTTTAAAGGCAGCAGAGGTTATCACTTTGAATCATATTCACACAACCTGGAGGACGGTTTGATTATTTCTCCCGCTGCCTCCAGGTTTCCACGCTCCTCGACTGGTAACCATAGAGAACTGCATGAAGCTGACCCAAATGATAGTGCAAGGTCTGCAGGAGTCAAAGTCACCATTGTTGCAGCTGCCCCACTTTGAGGAGGAGCACCTCCGCTACTGCGTCTCTAAGAAGGTACGGTCTGAGCTTCTGTTGAGTAAGATGGAGAGGTTTGTGTCAGTGCGTAATTTGCCTCCTCTTCTCTAGTATAAAGTTCGGAGCCTGCAGGACCTGGTGAGTCTCAAGGACTCCGACAGACGCAGCATGCTGCGTTTCTTGGGGGACGAGAAGTACGATGAGGTCTTGTCAGTGCTGGGCAGCTTCCCTCACATCACCATGGACACCAAACTGCAGGGTCAGTCCTACCGGTGACGCCCGTGCAGCCGTAACCCCCCCCCCCCTCCCCCAACTAAGTGTTAGAAAAAGGTGTATAACACATCAGGTCTTTAGAGCAACGCTTTAGCAGTAAGATCATAGTATTGAAATAGTTTGAACAGGTACCTTGAAATGAGTCAAACAAACCCTTGCATGTGGTTTGAATTAAGTACAGTTTTCCCAAACTACTAATTGCTGAGATTTAAAATAATTTTCTAAATAATACATTATAGTTTTGGTTGTTGAAAGTTGTATTTCTTTGTCTTTGCAGTCCTCGATGATGAAGACAGCAATAACATCACAGCAGGGTCTATCGTCACAGTAACTGTCACCTTAACCAGAAAACGGATGGCGGTGAGTATTTCTTTGCATTTGGTTCAACCCTGCCATCAATCCTACAACATAGTAATGACTGACTAGAAACCAACCATCTGTGATTATTTTTAAAATTTCGGCTTGGAGATGCATTTCCATAGATGACCACTAGGGTGAGCTCGTGACTAAGCATTGTTGAGGAAGCACGATGTGACTGTGGAGGGAACTGTGTTTTGCAGGAGGTGTTTGAAAAGGAACAGGATTCTGCACCGTGTCTAACGGAGGAGTCCGCTGCTACAGAGGAAGCAGTAAGGACAAGACACACACACACAATAATATCAACTCAGACCCAGTGAGACGGCACCTTCACTCTGACCGGGTCAGACGCTTCGTGGCATTGCAAAGAGTCCACTCAGCCTTATTCTCTATTTGTGTACAACAGGGCGACGCAAGTAAAGCCAAAACAAAAGTGTGGCAGAACAAGAATAAAGCTGCTAAGAAGACAGCCAAGTCAAAGAAGAAAAAATTAACCAAGAAGAAGGTCACTCCTGTACCTGCAAAAACCAAGCAGGCCAACGGCAATGTGGCCGGGAATGTACGTGTCCAATCCTACAATTAATTGTGTTGATTTTCATATGATCCAAAAAAGAAGTATGTATCGTAAAATCCTGTTGTCAATGTCAAATGTCCCAGGAAGTTGTAGCGACAACAGCAGCAACAGCAGCAGTAGTAAAGGAGGAAGAGGAGGAGGCCTCGGACAAAGGCAGCGAGTCGGACGAGGGAGAAGCCAACAAGGACTCTCCCAGCGAGAGAGACGAAGACAGCGACAAGCAGAGCGACACGGAGGTGGACGAGATGGCAGGCGACGACGAGGAGGTCAGAACTTTTAACAACTCTACACATAAAGGGCACAAGAAACACTCGCCGGTACGTGTACCCCCCACCAAAAGCTAACTCTCCCTCCTCTCCGCCGGTCAGGAGTGGGAGGCGTTGCAGCAAAGCATCCAGAGGCGGGAGCGCGCCCTGCTTGAGACCAAGTCGAAGGTGACGCACCCCGTCTACAGCCTCTACTTCCCCGAGGAGAAGCACGAGTGGTGGTGGCTCTACATCGCCGACCGCCGAGACCAGACCCTCGTCTCCATGCCGTACCACGTCTGCACGCTGAAAGACACGGAAGAGGTGGGTCAACCAACTTCTGGGTTCTGGCAGCACGTAGGTGGCGAGCTACTGGCCTCGCGGGATGAATCCCTCTCTGTGGGGTCCGTAGTCACATTTCAAATCACTTGTTACAGCAAACGGACTAAAACCCAAATATATTCAATCTTCAATATTAAACTGATTAGAGGCATAAAATCCTCACATTTGAGAAGCTCACAAACATCTGCCATTTGTTCTTTATTCATCAATTAAACCGTTGAAATACACCGCATTAAAACATACCGGTGTATGCATCATATTAAAATACGTCAAGGTTGTTTTGTGGCTTCTGCTTTAATCCGTCTGAGGTAGAAGGTTCTTAATAAGTTGCGTGAGTGATTTCACGTCTCATGTTTCCAGTGCTCCGTGGTCCCTCACATCCTGTTGCTAGGCAACCCTTTGCACTTTTTATCGTCATTTCCTCAGAGGAAGGTGTGTGTGTATATACGGTTGCGGGGTTCATTGTGCACCTCTGATCCTGGCAAACGGTGATCACTGACCGCGAGGTTTGTTCACAACTCCCCCGCTGAGTAATAAGTAACCTCACGCTACGTGATTGCACAGCAGAGTTCGCAGGGATTCCATCCAGCATGGGACTTCTTTCCTGAGATGGTCCATTGGTGATCCCTCCCCCCCCCACACCCAGTGTTCAAGGGGTTTGTCCTTTTCAGGTTTGCCTCCTTCTGATAAACTCCCCTTGCTTCTTTACCCGGTGGATGTTTTAGTTCGACATCAACGGTAACCACGGAGACACGATGTAGCATCGGCTACGTGCTTTACGCTAACCCATAAAGCAATCGTGCCCCCGTTACCAGAGCTTTGTGACTGCACTTCCAGTGCTCCTGGGATGAGACTTGACGTGTGTGTGTGTGTTTGGTTCCCCAGGTGGAGCTGAAGTTTCCAGCCCCCTCAAAGACGGGCAACTACCAATATTCTGTCATCCTTCGCTCTGATTCCTACCTCGGACTGGACCAGATAAAACCACTCAAGGTAAAAGGAACGGTGTGTGTGTGTGTGTGTTGTGTGTGCACACTTGTGTGTCTTTTAGGGCGTGAGGGATTGCTCAGAGGAAGTTGGCTGAGACGATACAGACGAAATATATAGGGGAGTAAAAAGCAGCCGACGCCAGAGAACTCAAATAAAAGCTTTCTGTCACTAGAATTGGATCTCCCCGGGTGTGTGGTTGCTAAAGCGTTGACACTTAAGTCCTTAAGTGACTTCCTGTTTCACAGCGCTCAGAACCAGAACTAATGTTTAAGGACTAGACGCTCTGCTGCTGTAAACTGACGCACCTTTTTAAATGTGTGTGTCCCCCGTCCCCCCCCCCCCGTCCCTAGCTGGAGGTCCACGAGGCCAAGGCCATGCCGGACAACCACCCTCAGTGGGACATCCCCGACACGGAGGAGGAGGACGAGGAGCAGGAGGACAGCGACGGCATCGAGGAGAGTGAGGACGACGACGAGGACAACGACTAAAAGCGAAAATACACACACGCTCACCTCCCCACCCACCCCCCAACCCCCCTTACACATACACACACACACACACCCTGATCGACTGGCCGACCACCCACTCCTCACCCCAAAGCAGCACTCAAGAACAGCGAACGAGGAGCAGCAGAGCTGCGTCCACCATACACACTAACACACACATTTATATAAATATGATAACCGGGGACAGTTTATACACACAGATCCCTCCTTCTTTTCTTCCATTTTATCTTTACACGGACCCCCCCCCCACCTTTTCTACAGAGACTTGTTAACTTTCCGTTGCTGGCGGAGGGAATCCTGTGAATACTTATCCAGGCTCGTGTGAGTGGATGGTGTGTGTGTGTGTGTTTGTATGTGTTTGTTAAGGTATGATAGATTGACACACTGTGGACTGGAGGACCTAATATTATCTGGGCTTTTTTTTCTTTTCTTCTTCTTTGCGGGGTGGGGGGGGTGACGACGGGGGGGAGGAAACGTACAACCGCTATTTCCGTTTGCAAAATTAACAGAAACTCCCGACCTGCGTGTGGACTTTGTGGCATCGCTCTCGCTCCTGTTTTTTAAAGTAAAATGGCACTAATGTTTTCCACACCAATGCTACTTTCTATTGTAAAAATTACAAACTGCAGAAGCGCGAGTTTTGGCCCCATTTGTCGGGGGTCCCTTCCCTTCATTTCCTCGTTTTACTGTCCCTTGTATGTTCTGCTCGCTGTGTTTAGGGAGCCGTCTACAGATGAGAGCTGATCCCCAGTCAGTTCTGTTGATGATGCTTGTTCTGCTCCTGTGATCCGCGTCCGACTGTGTTTTTCAGAACCAACTGTTGAAAGCAGGTGATAATCAAAATGAATTAGCCTCAAAATATGATGGGGGGGGGGGGCATAACTTTCAGTGTTCAAATTTTAGAAACTATCCAGTACTTCTTCTTGTCCATTTATACAACTTAAAAGCTTCAGTCTTTTGAAGGGGTTCAGATACCGATGTATAGATATCTATCAATTCATTCTTGTGGCTTTTCAGAGAAGTGATTTTTCTTTTCTTTCTTTTTTTCTTTCATCCTTTTTTCCTTTTTAACAATTGTAGCACATTCCAGTGTATACTCTGTCCAAAAAAGGCCTTATGAATACAACTGAAGTACCACAACAAACATGCCCTCGGGTGCTATGGTGGTTCTTTGGACAGCGGAAAAAAAGTCTGTTTTGCACCTGCGTGAGAATGTGTATTCAAAGGTCTCTTTAAGGTAAACGATGCTCCAGTCGGGGAGCACATAGCACAGATGTTTGCCAGGACATCACCGCTCAGATGTCCAGTTTTGTCTCAGCCCCACAAAGACAGACTAACGGGATTAGAGCCCGAGATCCCCGACCAAAACAGTGCGCGTGATCTGAAAAGTGTGCGTCCAACAAAGGAACCGGTTGAAAGTACCCTTGTTTCTGTAGTCATTAAAGCAGAACAAGCTTCATTTTGTAATGACTACTGCCATTCAGATGTAAGGCTTTTTTCCCTCCATAATCTCATCTCAAAAGTTTTCCACTTTAAAGTGTCTTTTCTTTCTAACAAATGTTACTCATGTCATGTTTCGTTCCAATTTATCCGTTGTTGTTTTTTTTTTTTTTAATCCGTTAGATTCCAGTGAAAAAACACACACACACACACACACACACACAAAATAGCCTCGTTGTGCTCTGGGCTTACTGTGTGTGTGTGTGTGTGTGTCAATTTTATTCAGACAGGGGTGCGAATATTTGTGGGCTCGCGCTCCTGATGTCACATGACCCACACGCGCTCACTACGCCCTCCTGTAATTGCGTTCAAAGCAGCAGGTAATATTGTACTCTGGGTATTTATCGCTCTGCAATAGAATGTAGCATCAGCGATTTGTTTCGCTGTGTGGAAGAAAAAAATGAATAAATATACAAAGAAAGGAAAAAAAAAACTGCAGCGAGGTTAAAAATCACACAACCCCATTTCTCCCTCGCTGACCTTTTCCAGGCGGCCGGCGAAACTACCCGACGACTATGTATCTGCCACTTTTGTTTACAAAGGAGCTGTCATTGTAAATGGAAAAATATATTATTTGTATTTAAAATCATTTCAAATAAAAACTTTTAAATGAGATGATGTCATCATTTCCCAAAGACGTTCCCGTTAATGTTCTCGTGTTTTCTTCTATTACATATTCTTACAATATGGTCTACTTTATGGAGCCCAGGCAGTGCGTGTTCCTATGGTGGCTAAGCCTTGCAGACTAGTTCCTTTCTATGTAAACTGGTGTGGGATTCCCCTATTACTTGGGGTCAGCTTTTTAAGAGACCACAATCCGTCCAGGATGTATTAATACGGTACAGCAAGAGGATTGATCAAATGCAAAAAAAGATAAGTGCTAATGCAAGGAAATAGCTGACATAACTAAAATGCAATATACAAAAAAGATGTGTGAAGTAGTTTCTGGGTCATCAGAAAGGGGCTGAGCCTGTTTAAAGTAGCGCGCCGTCGCTCCCTAAATGAGACGCAGCCTCACGTCGGGTGATCCACCCGGACCGATGCACGATCACGTCCCACCGCAACGTGCGCCTCTGGGGATCTTACAACTCCTGCCCCCCCCCCCAAAAAAAACAATCCATCAGACAGCGTTGGGAAAGCAAACTGCATCCTTGCATCTCCTCCTCCGCAGACTCCAGATCAGCCCGCGGCGCTCACTCGCCTCCTCCGGCGCATCTGCGAGGGTGGAACCCGGACTGACCCATACAAGGAGTTCCCTCCCCGGTGCTCCCGGTGCTCACAGCCTGCTGTGGAGAAACGGATCCCCGCCGTCGAATCGAGCCGTCGAGTCACAGGTAACGAACGCGAGTAGGGAAAAAAAAAATCCGGAAACATTTATTGCCATAATTTGTCAGACATACAAGGAATTTGACGGTTGGTGCGTAACAGCAGACAGTACGACGATGGACGACAAGACAGCATGCAAGAGGAATAAAATAAAATATAATGCCATGGGTTAGGAATCAAAGTTAAAGTTAAAAATATTTAAAAATTAAAAATAAAGTGCACCAGCCAACAGAAAGTGACAAGTGAAAGTGACGTAAATAACTTTAATAAGGAATCTCTTCATCCTTTTTTGGACACGTTCCTCTTATTAGTATTAGTATTAGTATTAATATAAGACAACGAGGTCACTCACCTCAGTTACTATTGAGAAAGAAGAGGAAGCATTTATTAAGAAAATTATAACATGTTTGATTTAATCTGCACCTTTGTGGTATTGTTATTGTTTTTTTCTGTCATGGTCAATTTCCCCATTTTCTCACGACACACAAAAAAAGTCAAACGCTTTTAATAAATCCTCATTTGCACTGAAGTATACTGGTTATTCGCATACAAGAGCTTTGAAAAACAAATTGCTGCTCTGCTCAAGTTGTATATGGTTCAGAGAGTTAACCATTGACAACCATCCATCGTGCACACCTTTGCACAGTGAGGTGAAAGTGTGATTTCTTTTTTTCTGATCCCTTGTTTTCACATTTCCAGGGATGAGAAGACACATGGGGGGAGGCAGCAGAGCGTAAAGGCCTGAGATTAAAGTTGTATCACAGATAAATCACCTTTTCACCCACCAAGTCATCACTTTGTTTTTGTTTCAGATAGTTCCGTGCGCTCTAACGTATTCTATACTTACGTAATGGCTTTTTCCCCCAATGCAGTTCTGTAGACTGTTGTGATAATTGCAGAAGAGCACACAGGGACATTGCACATTTTGTTCTGAGCCTCGTTCCTCTTCACAAGGCAGTTTTTTAGAGAGATTTTCTTTTTTCCCATGGTAAATAAAGAAAGTCAGACTGGACTGAATTGTAAAGGGAAATAAGTGAGCCCATTATTGTTCCTTTTGCAAGGAATCTAAGCGAAGAGGCTTTCGCACCTACAAGCGCTGTGCAAGAGAAGGTCAGTGTTCACGATGAGAAAGTAGACAGTCTCATGGCTGCAGAACTGATATCACAATGCTGGTATATTGTGTGCCAGGAATTCTGCTTTTTGATCCCCAAATATGTCCCGTGGAGGCATTTATTGCTGTTTTTTCAGTCCCACCAAGATCATAGCAGAATTTATCGGCTCAATAATCCCATGTGATCCGCTGACTTGTTTACCCCACATTCTAATTTAAATAAGGCCCCAATCAGCTTTTTAGAGAAGCCTTGAAATCGTCAGTATCTATTACATTTACAAATGAAATATAATATGGCTTTTGCAGAGTAACATAACCGTTGTCGCTGAAGGGAAGGCCCACTGAGAGCTCTCTGTTTAATTGACGTAGGTCGTTTCGTACTGAAATCAAGAAATCACTCCAACAACTGCACTCGTGGCAAGACTCCAAGCCACAAGTGCTTTAACTGAGTGTCAAAATGAAGTAGTTTTCTGCTCTCATTGGGCATCAAGCATTTAAAAAGACACAGAAGCATTCCCCCGTGTGTGTGTGTGTGACTGGGGACGGTGCTGCTATGTCTTCATTATTGCAATCTGTTTCGTCAAACAAAACAGTGCTCCAGATAGCAATTTGTTGTGTGCGTGTGTGTGTGTGTGCGTTTGTGTGTGTGTGAGAACAACCATCTTTTGAGTTTTTAGGTGGCGTTTGATGTATTTGATTTCTTTCATGGTAAATGAAATATTGGGGTTAAGGGCTGATTTATTTCGTCTCCAACCTGACTGAAGCTGACAGGTTGGCTCTGGAAATAGTTTTGTCTCTTCTTTTGTTTTCCACTTTATTTATTCAATCTCACAATAGATGGAGAAATGTTTTATAATATATAGTAATAATACATTTTAGATTAACACTTGTCTTGTTTATGTATATCTTGTTGCACTCCTTCCATCGCTTTCAAGTGGCATCAAGTCTTTGTTTTAACTATATATTCTCTGTTCTTCATCAACATGTTGTCTAATAGTAACCCCCAACGCTAACATGCAAGTAGACAAGAAAGGCTACTTAGTCGCACACATTAAATGCACTTCGCCTGGCGGTGGTTAATAAAGCCCTGAGGGTATCCTCTCCAAGTTTAATTACTGCAGGACTAACAGCCACTAAGGAAAATACGATCTGCTTACAGAATAGTGTAATGGGTGATAATTTGAACATTTCCATCAGCTTTCAAAAGTCTCCCAGCTGTCCTCTCGCTGCTCTCCCGCTGCCTTTGTTCCCATCCAATGCAGCGGAGACTGAAAACCTACTTAGTCGACGTTAATCAGTAAATCCAGCACCCTGGAGGCCAAATTGCATCCACTTTACAGCACAATAGACACATTGTCCCCAATACTTTTGTAATTATCAAAGTCATATTCTCCCGTTAGCCACCGGTGCATTTCTTTGACCTCTGGACTCACACCGGTGTAATTGCACATCACCTCCCCCAATATATTTTTTCTCCTTCAAGGCTCTTTCCCATCTCCATCTTTCCTTCAGGCTGCCTATGTATTCCATCCCAACTCTCCTTGTCGTGGATTGAAAGCTCTGGAATTAAATGATCACGAACAGGTTTGATGTTGACAAAATGTAATATTAAAGCACATTTTCACAAGCGAAGGGTGACTAGAATTCCAATGGATGCCATTTTATTACGGACGGCCTGTGGACCCTTCCAGCTTTTCGATCCATATACTTTTTGATTTCTTTCTCCAGTGTGATGTGTCTCACCTTCCCTTGGCGGTCTGCGAGGGCATGAGACTGCAAGGCCGGAGGGATTTCTACCCTGACTCCTACCTGGAACTGGCCCCTCCTCCACCTGGTCCTGTTGCCTGGTTGCCCGGGGTCCTCAGCAAGGGAGTACGCCTTCGCCTGCGCTTGGATCGCCTTGACAACCGTGGGCGGGGCTGCTGGCAGCTGGTGGAGTCGAAGGAGGAGTCTGAGCCTGTTGGGCCGAGGGGCCGGGCCCACGACACCTGCGCTCAAAGTAAGGGGCCGGTTCTCATAGAGTGATTCTCGGCACTTTACTTTGAAGATGTGAATTGGCCAGACTTCTGAGAGAGGTAATGGAAATGTATCAGCTAGAGGTATGCATGCATTTCTAGTACAACATTATGGTGGATTTTTAAAATTTAAAATAAAATAATTTACCGTATTTGTAAGGTATACTTTTATGTATCATGTGAAAGACAAATCTGGACCTACAGCTGTAAGAGACATTCTCTCCATCACATAAAATACCTAAAGAAAATGAACTGAAGTTCAGTACCTGACTAAATGTAACTTTCCACCACTGCTGAACATCTTTAAAGGAAAAGAGAACCAATCATTTTCAAGTGTGTGTCTGTGTGTGTGCGTGTGAAAAGAGAGAATTCACATTTTGGATGTAATTTATCAAATCCCCCCCCTTCCCCCCCTTGTGACCGTGATGAAAAGCAAAATACTCTCCACCCTCCTCTTCTTCCAGTGTGTTATGTTATGAAGGAGCTCAGTGGAGATAAGGAGGGGCTGTGTGTGTGTGTGGGCGTGCTTGTGTGTGTGCGTCTTATTTACACACAACCACACTATTTATGTGTTTATTTATTTGAATTTTATCATATGAGTTTGGTGCAGGATCCGATTTCACCGTCTGTTACCATGGCGACACCCTGCCTGAGCTGTAAATAAATTCAAGGGGTTTGTTACATTGATTAGAGAGCGAACATGCGCACACACAGACACACACACCAACACATTAATATATTCTAAACAACCAGGCGAGGTTATATGGGCTTCTAGTTAAAATGCAATTATTGTATATAGGCATTTCTGTGTGTGTGTGTGTGTGTGTGTGTGTGTGTGTGTGTGTGTGTGTGTGTGTTACAGTGTTTACATTTGTTTGTTTCTATGTGCATGGTGTGCAGGTTAGTGAGGCATTAGCATAATTCGCTTCATTGCAGTTTCCCTTCAGTATAAGTGAAAACAGATACAAATCTCCATCGCCTGAAGCTGGTGATTGCATTATGCTAATCATGGCTGATCATTGCTGCATTACTGTGGCCATAACAGTGCTGCTCCAGCAGCTTTCCAATGCCTCCCTCTGACATTCAGCCCCCCCACCCTCCCCAAAAAATAAAAGAATTGTTGCAAAATGAAATTGGGCGTGAGTATTCACTGGTCTCCTAATTACCTAATTAGCCATAAACAAACGAGGCTGCGGTCCCAAATGTGCCGTGTTTGGATGCAGCGGTGCCTGTCTCTCCCCCCCGCCTGCTAATGAATGGTGTTGCTGCCTCGTATTGTCAGCCATTGTCAGCCGACCCCCGCCCCCTCCCTCATATCCAATTCTTAAAAGTAAAAGATGATTATCTGTCCTCCGTCAGTCTGTCTCTGCCTGTAATGTGATGCGCTGTAATGAGAAAGGACTGATTGAGTAGGGACATAAGGATTAATCTAACTGTGTAATTACTTATATGATTTATGGGTTCCTCCCTTCACACACACACACACACACACACACACACACACACACACACACCCATGGCCTCCTACCATCGTGGTCGCTGTGTTCCAGCACTATCGCAGCCTTATTGTCCCGTCCTTGCTGTGTATTTACCCCTTTTTTTATCATCTTGTATGGGCTTCGAGTAATGAAATACTGCAATTTTCCTGGCCTGTCACATTCAGCGTTAACACAGCGTGTGAGCGGCCCCCTTTGCAGCAGACTCCTGACGCGTCCTCTTACACGCCAGCAGCGGCTCTGCTTGCTGGCGGCGCTTGATCCTTCCTGCGAAAGGTTAAACTGATTTTCATTGAGCATTAAAATCCACCGGTGTAGCCTCTCTGACCGCAAACTGGAGTCGGCATAGCAACCTGTGTGTAACCAATCGATATGTTGTGTTGTAGACTTTTAGACCATGAGGGCAAATAAGCCCCCCTGGAGCCTGCTTCTTATTTTAATACCTCAACCTCAGTGTAAAACTTGCTGCACCTTGCTTTTGGCTGGTTGCTTTTTTTTTTTTACATGTGTAGATTTATTATAGATAGATTAAAAAAACAAGGCAGCATACATGAGCTGAAACGGAGGTAGTCTATAAATAAAAGGAAGCCTGTAAGCTTTGACAGAAATATGGTCTGCAGAGCAGTGGAGTAATCCTGGAGGGTTTCTGCGAGAGCCTTTTGGTGTTTACTAAGAAATGCTCTTCACCTGGACGTATATGAAAGGTCCAAGCAGGTGAGCGTGACCAGAAGATTGAATCCGTGAGCATTTTTGGTGCATTTCTCAGGACACGTTCGACGCCGCTCCCTGTGAAGCAATTTCAATTTATTCAGAAATAATTTGAGCACACATTACAATGTGTAACCCGAGCGCTTGCAGCACAAAACAACTGCACAGCGTGAATCCCTTGTCATCCGCTCGAAGCCTTTTTTTCTGACGACAGAAAAGAAAAACTCAGAGCTGTGGTAACTGTAATTACATTAAAGTCCCCCCCCCCCCCCCCCCGGCACACACACACACACACACACACACACACACACACACAGGTTTAAGCCTCGCACGTCTGCCCGCTGCCGCGGGATGTTAGAAGCGTGTTGCTATTACAACTGAAAGGGGACCCAGAAAGGGGGTGAGGGTAGAAGGGAAACCCGGTAGGAGGGGGGTTGGAGGAAAGTGGGCGAGAAAAGAGAGAGAGGGAGAGAGAGAGACAGGGGGAGAGAGAGAGAGAGACGCATGCAGGGTTGCCGGCGTCTCGACAGTGTGCGGCTGCAGAGAACAGTGGAGCAGAAGCATCCTGTCGAGGAGCCATCAGGCGGATTTATCCAGGGACTTGCCCCCCCCCCCGGAGCGTCAAACAGACAGAGAATACCAGGCGGCCGCATGGTAGGCAAATTCTGGGCTCATTTTTGGAGATTTCTGTCTGACTGGGTCTGAGAGGCGTCATGCATGTGCACACGCTGTTCCTGTTCCTGTTTTTCTTCTCATGACACATTGTGACATTCGGTGTTTTATTTTCCTACCAGTTGCCAGTCTCGCTGCACTGAATTCAAGCCGGTCCTGTTTGATACCATTAAATGATCATTGGCGTGCGACAGCATGGCAGCAAATTTGTAGAACATCAGCACAGAGCAACTTAGCTTCGGATTGAAAGGCCGTTTCAGGTGAGCTATTGTTTTGCATGAATGAAATGATTGAAGAAGGGGATGCATTGTGAAAGTCGTGGTCATGTGGTACACACACATGCACTTGAGGCACTGCTATGTGTGTGTGAGTGTGTGAGAATGTGCTTCTTTGATTGTTTGATCGTGTGGGTGTTGTAGGTTTATGTCCTTTGCTTTCACTTCCTCATTATGTGTGTGTGTGTGTGTCTTTGTCTCTCTGTGCAGTAATGATATTTATTGCAATCTTCTCAGTCAGAGAGGGGGAGGGGTGTGATGGAGTACAAAGCTGTACCAGGCTTTGTTTCTACTATTTCCTATAGTTTGTGTGTTTGTATGTGTGTGTGTCTGTGTGTGTGTCTGTGCGTGGGCGTGCAGGGGCCACACACACACACACACGTGCATCTAAGTTTCCGCTCCGGTTTGAAGCGGAGGCAGCGGCGCGTGCAGTTTCCTGTTACTTTGAAAAATCCCCATGGAACGAGCTCTGCGTCTCCCTCAGGTCCGATGAGTTCGCTGTACGCCGGCTCAGAGATGCAGACTCCCGCTCTCGGCCCCCAGTTCACGGCGGGGCCCCAGGGAAAGGTGCCCGGCAGGAAGAGGGGACGGCCTCCCATCCGTAAGCTGGAGTTCCAGGGTCACTACGTTGAGGCCCTCAAGGTGCCAAAGAAGAGAGGCAGAAAACCCGGCTTTAAGGTCGGTCGCTCATACGTATACCTCTGCATACCTCTTCATTATTGACTCTTCCCCGTGTTTAAAGTTCAGTATTAATGTTACTTGTGTCATTAATATTGGTATTGATAATGGCCCGGTTATTGTTATTGTTTGTTTTTGCTATGGTTCTTTTTGCCTTTGTTTATCATCACACACACAGTGTAAGCACAGACAGGACAAAAGGGGTATGACATGCAACACATGTTCTTAATTCCAAGATTTATACGTTTATAGATATTGGTGGTGCTGATTTTTTTATTAGGTAGAACTGATAGTAACAGAAGGGGTTTTAAATGAACGTGCCACTAAAAGGTCAACGTTTACACCTTTTTTGAGATTTTGGTTACTGATGTGTAATGTAATGTTAATATAGCAACCTCAATGAGTTGTTTGCATGTGTGTGTGTGTGTGTGTGTGTGTGTGTGTGTCTGTAGCTGAAGCCCAGGATGGTGATGTCCCCACTAGCTAACTCTCCTCCCAGCAGCACACCAGGACCCGAGATGGGCTCCATCCCTCAGGATGCTGCCATCGTCCCCCACTCTGCCACACCTCAGGTCCTGACAGGTAACACCTCGGCCGCAGACAGTGTGAAGCTTGTCTAACCGGTAACGGGCTCCAGATGATAATGGGTCTGCGCCGAGTGAAATACAAATGGTAGCAATTAAAGAAGCAAGGTTTTTTTTTTCTTCTTCTATAGGTCTGATGCTTTTTTTTTTTTTTTACGCCACGAGATCTGGAGCCTTTTTCGAATGAGGAAGCAGAACTTATTAACATTTTTACAGTTATTAAACACTCACAGCCTGGTGGTGAGATGTTTTGGTTCCCCTTCTTCTGTCTTATTTCAGTTTCATATCTTTTCCATCCATTCCACCGCTCTGTGTCTTAAATTTGGTTCTAGACTACACACATGTCAGTGTGGGGCCTTTCTTCTCTGTTCTCTAAAATACACAAATGACTTATTTGTGCAGAGATGTGCTTTTATGTGCATGTGTGCATATTGAGTTAGAAACAACCGTGTCTATGGGTTTAGTGACTATGTTTACATGCCCTAAAATGAGAAATACACGCCTTCAAGCTGAAACAAAGCATGTTATTTCTTATTCTCTTTCAATCTTCGCGACTAGCTTTCCTTTTCTTTTTTAGGCTCTGGAGAAAATCTGCCTTTTAAAAAAATTCTTCTTCTCAGTCTTTTCATTTTTTTCCTCCCCGGAGTCCGTCCTACTCTGAATAAGCAAATATGTAAAGATTGCCTCAGTGTATTTGAGGTGTGAATGGGAACCTCACGTGTCGAAGACCAGCGCTTTGCTCTTTGTTCGTGAAAAGCGTTTGATGTCAAACTGTAGACATTCAAAAGCGAAGCTCGCGCACACACACACACACACACACATATATATGTATATATACACACATCACAAACCAGTGGGCTCCCCGTGGTGCCATCCAAACATATATGTAAATCATTTCTCGAGTGAAATGGAGAAGCCTTTCACAAATATCCCCCCCGCCTTGAAGGGGTATGTTTTAGCACATGCTCTAAGCAGAGGGAACTTTCCTTAAAATATCCGTTTTTTTCTCACATAAAATAATTTTTCTAATTGACATATTTAAAAAAAAATCTTATGTCATATTTTCACATATTTACATACATACATACAATAATATTTGAGGATGTAAAGGTATAAGAAGACTGATGTAGTAGGACACAGATAGTATTTATATTGACAACATTGACAATCAAATATATCTATCTCAATATTAATATCAAGCTTATACTGCAGGATATCAGGGCAATTCTGCAACATGTCTGTGTGTGTTCCTCCAAACTCACATGCGCAGATCTTATCACATAACTAATTTTTTTTTAGAAAACAATACATTTGACCTTTTGAGTGAGCACAAAGTAGAGGCAATTCAGAATCATCATGCACTATTTCCATTTCCTAAAGCTGTCATCAGGTAAATCCATAGATGGCCAGCCCGGGCATAACCAGCAGCCATTTACATTATCGACTTACTGAAAAAACGCTTGGCTCAAAAGGGGACCAGAATCAGAGAAACCACTGATCACCTTTTGTCAGTATCAGTACAGTTACAGGCCGAGTGGGGCTTTGACAGATTTGACTTCACATTTAAAGGATAGGACAAATGTAACCGCTGCTTGATATAGTAAATAATGCTGCATGTGATTTGCTTTGATGGAAAAAGTAAAATCCTTGATGTTGATGTAAACAGACCCGAGATCGCCACGCTAAAAACACCACCTTCCCCTAAGCGGGCTTGGCTCTAATGGTGCCTCTTCCCGTCTTTCCTCCGCCAGCAGAGACGTCGATGCCCGATGACTTCTTGTGTGACCCACCGGTGGACTCCAAGCGCTACGCCGTAGACCCCAGCGACTCCGCCTTCAACGTCATGACATCGCAGTACCCACCAAAGCACTCCTACGGGCACCGTGGCAGCAGCTGCTCCACCCCGATGGGCCTGTGCAGACAAGCATCGAGCCCGGGGAGCTTCCAGGATGCAAACAGGAATGGTGAGGCTTTGCTGCGAGATTCTGTTGAGACATTTTTCTTTTCTGGCGTCTTTTGGACAGCTTTGACCCAAGTCCTTTGTGGGTCGTGTACCCTGTTATATACTCTACATTGAATCGTGTAACACTTTTATAGTTTACTACACCTGTTTTTTAATATTGTTTTCATGACGTTCTATACTGTGTCCTTTTGTACGTCATGGAATATAGCGGCTTGGGCCGTACTATGTTTTGTAACATATTCGAATGTCGGTGTTTTTTGCTTAAACCCGGTCTGTTCCCCGTCATACTACTAGCCTACAGTCCGATGCCGGACTCGGCCGACTGCAAGCGCCCTGCCGGCAAGGACCCGTCCGGCTGGAATGTTGAGGAGGTCGTTCGGTTCATCAAAGATGCCGACCCCCAAGCCCTGGGACCCCACGCTGAGGCGTTCAGGAAGCACGTGAGTTCAGGGCACTACGTGACGTAGCCAAAGCTACTGAGGCTGAATGTATTGTGACAGAGCCTGAGATGCTGGTGAGTTCACACGGCTCCGTTGTTTGTTTCAGGAGATAGACGGAGACGCTCTGCTCTTGCTGAAGAGTGAGATGATGATGAAGTACCTGGGGCTGAAGCTGGGACCTGCACTTAAACTCTGTTACCACATTGAGAGGCTTAAACAGAACCGGTTGTGATTGTCTGCAGTGGAGCCGAACCGCTGATCAACCTTTCACTGAAACTGCATCGCTGCTGGTTGTATGAAACATTTCCAGCCAACAGCAATGCACCATGAATGCCTTTTGGATCCGGATTCGTTGACAAATTGGACTTATTTTGACTATTTGCAGCAGACGCAATTATTTCTTTATCATCTTTGTTCACTGGTTATCTATATGGCTTTAGATTGTAAATAGCTTAACTCCACGAGGATGGCAGCTGCTGAATATTGGAATGGAACCTGCCCACTCCTCAATCCTAAACACGGACGCTGTGCCAACACCTCCGAGGGCCGACGGGAAGCTGAACAAACACGTATGGTGCTTTACCGAGACATAATATTTAAACTTAAATAAGTTTTTTTGCTGCAATTTTGAAATAATGGTTTTGCTAGTTAGTTTTGTTGTGTTTTAAATGTATAATAATGTTGCCCCAGGTAGCACTCCTAGACACAAACTTTAACTTATTACCGATCTTGTCAACTTCCAAGTATGGAAACCATTTGAGTGGTTTTGAAACATTAGAATATGAAAAACTGTAAAAAAAAAAAAGGTTTTGCCGCAGACCACTGCACAGTACGAGGGTGTTGCATCAATCAGAGGTGCATATAATCACGCAGCGCTGATAGGGACAAGAAGGATATGAGACGTATACATTGTTTTTGTGTTTTTTAATATGTTCTCATGATTTTATTACAACATGGTGCTCACTGAAACCGTTACTGCCACTACAATCAAAATACTTAACCAGTCTCCCACACTTACCACCATGGTAAACAAACTGTTTACATTCTTCTCATGCAATAGTTTTTAGTCATTTTGAATTAAAAAAATATGCAGTATTTCATCTCTAAACTGTAAAAAGTTAAAAACCATTAAGTGAGATATCTTGAGCATTATCCTGTATACAAATGAATGATCAGTTACATGCAGAATATGAAAAACTTGTGCAACTTTTGGTTAATCTAACTGTACAGGGACCTACTTATTAATCACTTTAATTGTCTGTGTTGTGTGTGCTTTGGCTCTGTGTTTTCATATCAGTCTGCAACACTTTTGTCAATACTAAGTATGTCTATGAATGATGTATTTCATAACTGTCTTGAGCCTGAGGGAGCTTTCAGCATTAAACTTTAGCATTACCCGTTCCTATTTTACAACTCGATTCAAGTCACTTGCAGGAAATGAGGCTAGGTGTTACAGCTACCCCAAACTAGAAATTTCCAAATATTTTCCATGTTTCCATTTCCATTTTTTTGCATCAAACTTGTAACCTATATTAAATCAATTTGGACTTACGACCTTCCTTTCCTCTTCAATGTGATGTTTTTAAAAGAACCCTTTTTTCCAGAAAAAATAAACTTTCATGTTCAATGAAGTGTAATTAATTAGTTGTATTATTATAAGTGTATACAAGTTATATCCATTAATTCAAATAATAATAATAACTTTATTTTAACAATTTTTTGCATCTTTTTGCAGAACAAAACCGACAAGAACGCCTTTATTTTGAAGAGCGCGAGATTCACGTTGCTATTATATCGCGAGAGTTGCATCGATTCACTTCCCGTATGAGTGTAACGTGACTTTCATGCCGCTCCGTCTCACACATATGTGTGCGTCTGCCAGCCAGAGGTGAACATGGCCGAAATTTCGGAGAGGACCCTACAAGTGGCCGTCGCGGTCTCCTTCGCCGCCGGCTTTGTGGCGGGGTGGCAGGCGAACAGAATGAGGAGACAGTTTCTGGACTGGAGGAAGAAGCGGCTGCAAGCCAAACTGTCAGAAACTCAGAAGAAGCTGGATTTGGCTTGAACGGTAACGTGAAGGATGTTTTGCTTTATAGAGGGTCATTGTTCAGTTGCGTGTGATTACTTGACTGTTAAGTCTTCTTTTAGTTTGGTAACACACAGACATTGGCCAGAGAATCGTGTCCATAAAGTAGAATTTAACTGCTGCTTCCACGCGCATGTGGAGGCCTGACAATGCGAGGCAATACTACTCACAAGGATTACAAATAACTTGTAAAACTTGTTTTTGTGAGTGTGCCGCTTCCATCGTGCACGTACCTTGCGTCATTTCCGTAGAGCGCAGTGATGTCTGGTGGTATTTCTCAGGTGCTGTCGGGTCTAATTGAATGCTGGTCTTCTCTGCAGAAGGTGCCGGATGCGCTGCACGTCTGCCCCTTGAGGAGTGACCTCAGAATGACGTCACGTTACTGGGCGATCTGCACTCTGCCTGCTTCCGGTTCCTTCAACACTTTGTGGAAATCCTGATCAGACTTCATTGCATCGGTCAACCGATTTGAAATGCAAAATTGACCTTCTCACGACAGCTTCCGTTGTGTCCTAAGTCACTACCTTTGGAAGAACTTCATCATGCTTTAGTGTTTTTTTTCCCCCCGTCTTGTCTGTAAGATACCCGGTGAAATAAATTGTCTTTTTTAATGTTTCTGTAACTTTTTTTGTTGTTGCTTTCATTCAGGTTTGTAGGTCATGTGTTCTACCTTTTTGCTTTTTCATTATTTGATTTTCCTCATCACCGATACACATTGGAGGTGACTCAAAGGGCTACACGCCAAAATAATCATTTGTAGTAGATCAAATCTTGTAAATACTTGCTTTACCTAAATATCTTGACTTATTCCTCGTAAATGGTGTTTTCCTCCACGACAATATGCCCGGAGTTGTGGCTCCCATCTGCTGAATCACATTGGGAATCACAACTTAGACGTGAAGTAAGTAAGTAAGTAAGTAAGTTTATATTATGACTTTTTTTACAATTTATTCTTGACATACTAAATGATGGCTTATGAAACTTTATGGGCTGTAATACTACCACATTTTGGATATCTTATGGAATCATTTTTAATATAAGAAATTTTGGGCTATGATTATTTTCAGTAAATAGCTGTGATGAGCTATTTTATCATTTTTAATCACTTCTTATGGCTACTTTTACTCTTTATTGGACATTTATGGCATAACGTTCAATTAATTTATTGCATGACACGGTGTACCCTACCATTTCATTATTTTTATGATACCGTTTGATACGTTTTTTTTTTTGAATCACTGATGTCATTCTTGCCTACAAAACTGACTTTCAATGAATTCAATACTATTATTTTATTAAAAATAGATTACATACAATACAACCCATGTACTAATGCATTATCAGGCCAATACATGTATTTGCTTTTGTTTATTTATGTTTCCACCTCATTAAACTGCTAATGAAGACTGTGAGGCTGTTGCTGATTATTCTGGTAAACTACGGCTTCCAATGTCCCGGAAAAAATCCCACTTTCAATATTTGAATATTTTCAAAATATTGAGTATGGGTATTAATGTAATAGGTTATGCATACATATGCACACTGTAGGTATTTATTCACATTTAAATTGATGGCTGAAGCTTTACAGGTACACGGCTTGTCGATGGGTGGTGCTAGTGCACTTCAAAACTTTAAGCACACAAAGTATTTGCCTTTCTGGTCGCTAGCTGTGAAAGGAAATCTTATGAGCAGATCTCTTTTTCATCATCTCCAGTCTAGCAGGCCTTTTACCTCCCCTCAACAGGCTTTTGACAAAAGCTTTAGACGTCCCTTTTTCTGTGGAAATAAGATGGGGAGGATACTGGAGGAGCGGTATGCGAAGTATACTCGACGTGCAAATACAAAAAAACCTTCACTGAGCTCCATCTCACCCAATCAAATCGTCTCATAAAAAATATTAGTAGTTACATTATTAGTAGTAAATGTTATTTCAAGTATGATTGAATTAGTCTTACTATGATGAATGGAACTTACTTGAATGCAGGAGGTGTGGGGTTGAACATTTCTATTTAGGTGCAAGAATAAACATTCACAATTTTTTATTCACAATAAACCACGTCCTTAACATTTTGTAGGGTGTATTTTGTTTATTACCAGTTTAAAAAAGATAAGCAGACTTTGGTAACGTACCGGTCTGCGAGCTGGACGAGTCACATTGGTCTTAATGTGCGCAGTCAGCAAAGTGAAATCTGGAAAAAACACATTACAGAAAAATTCAACAACTTCACTACTATGAATAGTACCACGGCCAACATTATTTATGCAAAAGGGGGCTCATTATTGTTCTACTACAGTGGTACTACGTGCACCGGGATATGTGACTTTATGAAGGACGTTTCCTAAAATTCCTAAAATGCATCTCGAGGGGGCTTCATCAGTATTTAAGATGATTACCGGTAAATGCGCTACTGAAGATAGTATGAAGTCTTTACAAAAGACAGTGCAATATACAAAGTACCAGTTGTTGTACTTTGTTCTCGCTGAGGAAACATCACAGAAATGGAATTTTGTGTTAGAACAGTTTGTGTACTACATTCAGTCACATTTCACAGTATGCATGCAGGCTTCTTTACTGGCTATTCTTAGCCACAATCCCGTCCAACAGGTTCAACTAGATCATCAAAGTGGAGAGAAGAATAAAAACACTCTCAGGTCAGACTCTGTAGTCTTAGTGAATGTTTTTATTCAATATAAACTCTTCACAACATTTGTTAAAAAGGTTTCTGCTTCATCACGTGTTCCCCACCATGACCAGGAAGCTTCCATCCGAGCAGTTACCCTCCCAAACCATTATTATCCCTATAGAGGCCGTGTCTGCCCCACGGCTACTTCAGTTATTTCTATCAGGAGAGACTTATGAACTTTTAACAATGATTTATTAAAACAAGTATTAAACGTGCAGTTTTTTGGGGCTTGGCCTCCTTTCCGATGTACGATAGACCAGGGGCCTGGATACCGAGATGAGATGAGGCAAATGATGGTGATGGGGGCGGTAGAGAATAAATTGCTACAATCTTCTGATTTGCCAGATTTTCCACTTGCAGTAACCGGCTAGCCTGAAGCATCAGGCCATATACCTGCTATGAGAATACAGGTATATGAAAAGATCAATAACATGTGGGAAATTTCTTTTAGCAGGAGTTTCTAAAAAACACTCTCAGGTCACACTCTGTCTTTATTTAATATAAACTCTTCACAACATTTGTTACAAAGTTTTCTGCTTCATCACGTGTTCCCTATTGGCCTACATGTAGAAGAAGACCAGGTGACAAAAAGGGGCGTGCACCCGTCCTCTAAAACATCTGGTCCCAGCAACAGCATTCAGTCGGTTGTCATAGCAACTTTTTACAAGGTGAAAGGATTGTTCCACAGATGCTGGTTTTGATCCTGAAATACTCGTGTTTGAGCAGTGGGCAGGATTCTATTCACAAGGACCTTTGACCCTGTGAGCACAGCTCAGACTGAGACTCAGTCGACCAGTCAGACTTTGTCTTTGATGGTGACGTGAGGACACACCCTCTCTGATGAAGAACAACGAGCTAACGGAGTGAAATCCACTTCACTCCGTCTGATGCAAGCTGAAGTGAAGCACGGAGCTCCTTTTCTACACGGACCTGCTGAGGACAGAAGAGAGCTGCACACTGAGGAAGTTCATGTCTACAAGCTCAGTAAGTGGAGCTGTGATTGGATGAATGACATCATTGATGGTTGTGAACGTGTGATTGTGTAAAGCTGGGAAACAAGATGGCGCCTGTGTGAGCAGGAGGAGAGGAGCTGCTGTTAGTCTGAATGATGACACTGTGATGAAGAAGAGGATCTCAGTCTGATCTGGGGTCTGTGAAGATTGTTACTGATGAGGAGGGGAAGGTAACAGCCGGAGGGGCACTAGGACCCAGCAGGGACCAGAGAGCTCACCTGGGCCTTTCTTCCTGCACTGAAACGCACCTGAGAGATGCTCTGTTTGCTCTCACCTGCTGCTTCAGTCCTTTAAGTCCACACAGCTGCATGTATATTCATTTCTTCATCTGCTTTAAACACATTTAGTCACTTTATAGAGTGTTTGAATGTGTTTGTTTTCTTTAGGGTCCAGTTTTTCTCTCTTTGATCACCAGGTTGTGGTCGACGAGCTGCTACAACTCAGTTAAGGAGAAAAACATCTTGTAGATTTGTCAACGTGATTCATGAACTCTGTTCATTCACTTATTTTGATTTTGATTACATTGTTGTATTCAAAACCCAAACTCAAACTTTCAGGTTCGATTTTCTTTCTCAAAAGATCAAAATCTTTGTCCTGGATTTGGCTTCATATAATTCCTGCTTCACATTTTTGATTATGAATTGATTTGGTTTGATAAATGCAAATGACAGGGCGTTACTGTTGTTGCAGGTGAAGCTGTGCTTAGAAAGAATTATTTTTAATTGTGTATCAAAACTAATTAATCTATAAAACACGCTGCTTTTAGTTTTTTTAATGCAGAGCTATAATTGTTGTTTATTTAGGCGTCTTTAAAAAGGACATATGGATAAAGTCAAGAAGTACCTCATCAACATTTTAGTGGAGCTCAAGGAGGAGGAGTTTAAAGAGTTCAAGTGGCACCTGCGGGACCCTCCAAGCCCGGAAGACTTCCGAGCAATCCCAGCCTGTCCCCTGCAGAACGCAGACAGGAGGAAAACCGTGGACCTGATGGTGCGGTACCACGGCTCAGACTCTGTCGACTTGGCCAAAGAGGTTTTGGAAACGATTCCAAGGATGGATCTAATCCAAAAATTTGACAAAACTGCCTCTTCGAGTAAGTTGTTAAAAAGAGGAACAAAGACCGATGCGTATAATAAAGATACTTAAAGATGAGGAATGTGCTTCATGTGCGGTTTCATTCATTGTCTCCTCTCTGTCGGCTTTGTAATGTTGTGAGTCCCATTAGAAGTTGTTTGGTCACATGCAAGTGTGAGCACTAAATGACTGACATCAGATTATTAACGCCCATACCATTCCTAATAAATGTTAACAACAGAAGGGCATTATATGGTATTATTTTATTATTTATTGATTTATCTATATGAGTGTAGTGATTGTAAACTAACTATACATTTGGTTTTGTTTTAGGGAGCAAGGAGGAACATGAAGGAGAATGATGTGTGCGATAACATTCATTTACTGTAGCTTGGACATATTCTGTAAAATAAAAAGTCCTTGCATACAACTTAATAAATGTGTTCGCTGTTGTGGTTTTTATTGACAACATTGATGGAATATCCTTTACCTTAAGATTGCAATATTACTTTTTGCTGAAAGGCCATCGCTTAACTGCTATATTTTGAATTTAAAATGAGCGTAAAATGTTTTTCTCTCAGTCTTCTATAATGTTCCCCAGGTGAAGCATATCCTCCTAAACTAAATCAAAGAAGAAAAAGATTACCTTCTCTAAGTTTGGGGGCTTTTAAGGCAACAGGAGCAGTGGAGGGAAAGCTGCGTAGACATATAAAAAAATTGTTATGCCACGTGTCTCCCCCGGTTTGTTTATTTCGTCATGTGTTTGTCTTATTGTCATTGTCCGCCTCTGCTGCATCCCGGCCTGTTGTCACTCAACTGTCCCCTGATTGGGTAACACTTTACTTGAATGGGTGTTCATAAGGCTGACATAACATTGTCAAAAGCATGACATGACAGCTGTCATACATATCAATGAATACTTATGACAGTTGTCGTTAAGTGTCATTCGGTAAGTTATGTCACTTTTGATGCAAAGGTGACATTGTTTGAGATGTCCTTGTTATGACAACTTGACATAAAACACGACAACAAAACCTGTCATTAACATGTCAATAACATGCCATAACAGACCTAACTGTCAAACTTAAGCAAAACGTTCAGTCTTTGATTTGCTCAATGCACTGGCACAGAAGATCTATGGGGCGATGGTCGTTTGGTGATAGCGCTACATAGATTTGGGTGTCATCAGCGTAGCAATGGTGGTCAATTTTATTTTTTTGCATGATTTGTCCTAGTGGGAGCATGTAGATGTTGAATAAAGTCGGCCCTAAGATCGAACCTTGGGGGACTCCACACGTTACGTCGGTTGTTTCTGATACAAAGTCACCAATGGAAACAAAATAGTTCCTGTCTTGTAGATATGACCTGAACCAGCTTAAGACTGTGCCTGAGAGCCCCACCCAGTTTTCCAACCTGTCCAAAAGTATTGAGTGGTCGACAGTATCAAATGCAGCACTGAGGTATAATAGCGTTAATATTGAAGTTTTGCCAGAGTCTGTGTTAAGACGGATGTCATTTACAGCTTCAATAAGGGCCGTCTCGGTGCTATGAAGAGGTCGAAATCCTGACTGGAAGTTGTCGTGGCAGCCAGTTGAAGCCAGGAAGTGATTAAGTTGTTGTAGGACAACTTTCTCAATTATTTTACTTATGAAAGGTAGATTTTTGTTTGAGATATTAATGGCGCTGATGCCTTCAATTTTATCAGTATAAAAGAACGCAAACTCGTTGCATTTCTTTGTGGAATGGAGTTCAGGTGGTATTTGTGTTGGGGGGTTGGTCAGTCTGTCAACAGTTTCAAATAGGTTTTTTGCCTTATTAGTGTTGTTTTTAATGATGTTGGAGAAGAATGTTTCCCTAGCACTTTCTAAGTCTAAATTGTAGGCCCGGAGGCGCTCTTTATAGATGTCGTGGTGAATATGAAGTTTTGTATTCCGCCAGATTCGTTCAGCCTTCCTGCACTCTCTCCTCTGGGCTGTTACAACAGCAGCTTTTCTCCAGGGTGCCTTTTGCTTACTAGAACTGGTTTTAACCGTAACAGGTGCAATGTCAGCTAATTAAAGTTGTTTACAAGATTATCAGCATGACATGGGATTAGAGGTGGTAACGAGGAGATGACATTTTTAAAGAGTACATTAGTATGTTCATTGATGTACCGTTTTTTGACAGTATTTGATTTTGATTGTGTGTCAGGAATGAAAGAAATATTAAAGAAAACACAGAAGTGGTCAGACAATGAGGGATCAGTCACAAAAACATCCGAAACAATGAGACCTTTTGTGATAATCAGGTCCAGGGTGTCACGGTGTGGTTCACTTCATGTTATATTTTGTAGTTTTCTGCCACTCGTGTCCCCGGGTAACTTCACTTCCTGCCTTGTCATGTCATCCCCTGTGATCGTCTTAATAGTTTCCACCTGTGTCCAATCACCTGCACCTCCCTAGTGTATTTAAACCATGTGTGTCTGTTGTCACTTGTCGCGTCATTGTCTTTCGCCACGCTTGTGCTTGTCTTTCGCCACGCTTGTTCTTGTCTTTCGTCTTTGATGTCCGTAGTTTCTTGCCTGTGTGCTTTTGCCCCCGGTTCCTGTGTTTTTTGACCTTTTGACTATTAAAGTCTTTTGTTTCGGAGAAGTCTGCATTTGAGTCCTGCCTTCCACCCGCACCCCTGACACAGGGTGTGTCCCTTAGTAGTCACGTTAGACCAGGAATGCAGAAGTAGAAACGTTGACTGGTAGCGGCATGCGGTAAGCAGAGAATAGCCCAAGATCAATAACATCTGTAAAATATCTTTTAGCAGTGGCCGTGGGGTGGGGAAAATTTCCGAGGAAGCCAAGTGAGACACAACCTCTACGCTGGAAATGGGTGACAGAAAATTGCTTGTTATCTAACCGACACCTTGAGCACCGAGTGTCTCTCTCTCTCTCTCTCTCGCACACTCAGTCATCTTATTAATTTATGCAACCCCCCCAAAAACAGAACCAGCTACTTAAAGCACAGCACACATTTGATATGGGAAAGATGCAAATTCATTCACACACTCAATCAGAAGCCATTAAGTTTTATGTCCATGTCAAACACGACTTGTGCGCTCTATGTGAGACAAATGCTTTTCACTTTTCCCTATTGTTTATATATATAATAATAAATGTAACTTCATTATACGGCAAGACAACAACCCAGTACCAGCGGCTATAACCAGCACACCTGACATGTATTCAGACCGCCCCGGCCCCTCACATAAACAACAACTTCAGTGGACTCACTTGCTGCTTAATCAAAGCAAGCAAGACACAATAAGCACTATACTCTCATCAAAATCAACACACATGGTTAATCATTCTTTGTCTTTTATCAAGGGAGGCAAACTCAGCTTGTCTGAGACCACAGAGTGAAGTACCATGTTCTCAACGCTCATTCACCACGTAACACTTAGAGGGGCGCTGTTACACACGTCATAAAACGCTCGATAAGCGAGACGAGGAGGAGACGACAGAGAAGCAACACAGGGGGATTACGTGAACTGTTAAAAAGTATTTTTTATTAAATGGCTAATCATTAATGATGATGGAATCCGTTATATTCTGAGTAGTGGTAACCAAACGGAAAACAACAGCGCTGCATACCGGGAGCGAAAAACGAATTGATGTAAAAAAAAACACAACGAGACACACATTCTTGGTCGTCATTACTTGCACTGATTGGAGTCAGTCAGGGTCGGTTTTGAATGAAATAAAATGTGTCACTAATGAGCACTGCCCAGTTTTCTGCTAGTTGACTTTTTAGGAATAGCAGCTACTTTTATAGAAATGCAATTTATGTATTCTCACAATTGCAAAGTCATTCGGCGGGCCACACATGCTTTACAAGGTGAAAGGATTGTTCCACAGATGCTGGTTTTGATCCTGAAACACTCTTGTTTGAGCAGTGAAGAGGATTTTGTTCACGAGGACCTTTGACCCTGCGAACGCAGCTCATACTGCATACTCTGATGGTGACGTGAGGACACACCCTCTCTGATGAAGTATAAAACGCTTTAACAAGCTGCAACGCTTCACTCCGTCTGATGGAAGCTGAAGTGAAGCAAGGAACCTCCTTTTCTACGCCGACCTGCTGAGGACAGAAGAGAGCTGCACACTGAGGAAGTTCAAGTCTACAAGCTCAGTAAGTGCAGCTGCGATTGGTTGAATGACATCGGTTGATGGTTGTGAACGTGTGAATGTTTAACGCTGGAATACAAGATGCCTCCTGTGTGAACCGGTAGAGAGAAGCTGCTGTTAAACTGCTTCATATTTCTAATTCTAAACAAGCTTAAAAATGGTGATGTGCCCCAAAAGCGATGCACGTTGAGAGTGTTTAATCTCAAACAACCAAGAGACATTATGGCACGAAAGAATACCATCTATAAGTGAAAATAAGATTTGAATCTAAAAATCTCCAACTGAAAAATATAAAATATAGAACCTAAATATAAAATATTTGTGTAAGTGAAGAATAAGAATGGAAATACATATTCAATTCAAAAATATTTTTGAGCCCAAACTCTGTACATTCATTTATTTTTATTTTGAATACATTGTTGTATTTCCCTATGTTCCAAACTCAAACTTTCAGGTTCAATTTTCTTTCTCAAAAAATCAAATCGTTTGTCCTGGATTGGGTTCCATGTACTTCCTGCTTCACAAATATTTGATTATGAATTCATGTTGTTTGATAAATGCAAATGACAGGGCGTTACTGTTGGAGGTGAAGCTGTGAACCGCCTTTGCACTTCTCAAATATACCTTGTGTCCACGAAGAGGACGCTGACTTCATCAGAGGTGCTTGGAAAGAATTATTTTTAATTGTGTATCAAAACCAATGAACTGATATAACTCCATCTGTAAAACACACTGCTTTTATTTTTATTTTTTTATTCAGGTGTCTTTAAAAAGGACAGATGGATGTAATCAAGGAGGACCTCCTCAGGATCTTTGACATGCTCGAAGATGATGACTTCACATCGTTCAAGTGGTACCTGCGGGACCCTCCAAGCCCGGAAGACTTCCGAGCAATCCCAGCCTGTCCCCTGCAGAACGCAGACAGGAGGAAAACCGTGGACCTGATGGTGCGGTACCACGGCTCAGACTCTGTCGACTTGGCCAAAGAGATTTTGGAAAAGATTCCAAGGATGGATCTAATTGAAGAATTTGACTCTTCGGGTAAGTTGTTAAAAAGAGGAACAAAGACAGATGCGTATAATAAAGATACTTAAAGATGAGGAATGTGCTTCATGTGCCGTTTCAGTCATTGTCTCCTCTCTGTCGGCTTCGTAATGCTGTGAGTCCCATTAGAAGTTGTTTGCTCACATGAAGTGTGAGCACTAAATGACTGACATTAGATTATTAACGCCCATACCATTCCTAATAAATGTTTTTAATAGCAGGGTATTATATGGTA